GGAAAGTAATGCATTACAATATTGCGTTACTCCACAAAAAAGTAACTAATTGTGTTAACTAGTTAATTTTTAAGGAAAGTAATGCATTACAATATTGCGTTACTCCACAAAAAGTAACTAATTGCGTTACTTAGTTACTTTTTATGGAAAGTAATGCATTGCAATATTCTATTACTCCACAAAAAAGTTACTAATTGCGTTACTTTTGTTACCTGGGCTGGACTTGCTTATTTGTTTTTTATTAACAAAAACCCAAAAGCTATATTTTTGGCAACTTTAAAGGCCCTTTCACAAAAGTGAGATGAATAAGCCTCAGGCTGAAGGAAGCGTCTCTGATTTCTCTCAATGCGGAGACAGAGGCGCTGTCAGTCAATAAATGGGAAAACAAAGTAACTGACGTTACTTATTTGGAAAAGTAACTCAGATATTTTCTTGTCAATTTAAAAGTAATGCATTATTTTACTAGTTACTTGAAAAGTAATCTGATTACATGCCTCGCATTACTTGTAATGCGTTACCCTCAACACTGATCTTAAGTAAGCCAAAATGATTACAGGCCATATTTAAAGGTTGTATACCATATTTAGCATATTAATGTCAGAGAAGCCAAAGCTATTCTTGGTCATAGATGCTCTCACTTGTTTCTGTAATGATTAAGAATAGAGTTTATCACAGGCGAGCAACATTAGCTGACTTTAAACAGAAAGAGGAAATCCTTTATTTATGATTCAGCCTGTCTGTTTATTTTCTTGCTTGTTTATTAAAGGCACTTCTCACTCTGTAAAATGGCGAACTCAAGGGGTACCAATGCACTTGTGTCACAGAACATTCTTTGTTTTGCTGACATTTTGTCCCTTTATTAACTTTTGCTAAATATAAGGACAAAAATAAATGGTAATTTACTGTAGATTCATAAGGTCTTTTGAATAGTGCAGCTTAAACTCACTGGAGTCTTGGGTTCTTGGTCTTGAGACCAATCGAAGTTGACCCAAGCAGTGGGTCTCAAACTACAGTCTTTTTCCAGATCTGGGTCTTGCTTATTGTTTATTTTGGGGTTAATTGTACTAAATTAACCAATACCAAAACCGGCCCGAAGGGGTCTAGTCTCACAGTCTGGGTCTGGTCTCGATTCTGACTCTTGCAATGATAGAAGTGGAAAGAAAATCATTTTATTTTACTATAGGTGCCTTTGTCACATTATATTTTTAATATTGAAGGTAGTAAATTAATCCATTTTAATGCACCTACACTTTCCAGGATACCAGATATCTGGCTCCTTCTACACATATTCGCCTACAGAAACCCATCCAGTGGCAATGGACCCCAATATGAGATCCGCCGAAGCCATGGCTGTTTCAGGTATGAACACATTTTGGCATCATTGAGATACTTTTATGCTTTTTATAAATGCATATATATATTTTTTTATTTCCCATTTTTATTTTCATTTTAGTTAGTTTTAGTAATTTTCTTGTGTGTTTTTGTCTTTTTTTTATTTATATATTTATTTTTTGTATTTTTTACATGAGTCTGTTTAGTTTATATAAATTTTTTATTTCCATTTTAGTTATTACATTAAGTTAAACTAAACTAAATAACAAAGTTTTTTTCAGTTATTTCATTTTCATTTCAATTTATTTTATTTCAAGTAACAAGAAAGATTTTTATGGTTATTGCTATGAGCTTTGGCACGTAACATTTGCACCGTGGACATGAATGATACTGTAAATCAAGTAGTTTTTAAGGAAATACAATTTGGATGATAAAAAGCAGATTTTAAAGGTCTACGTTGATTGGATTCTTTGCTATAGCTGAAAAAGTAAAGTAAGGGATTACTCTAATTACAGTTACTTCTGATGTAATTGCATTAAATACTGTACAGACTATAGAACAATTCTATATAAAACAGTGGATGTAACATATAATATTAAAATGGTTTTAATGTAACAGTCTTCCTTTAAATACTTTGATCAATTTAATAATAATTTTTGCAATATTATATTATTTATTTAAAATAATTAAATGAGCCGTTTCATGTCCATCGTTGTATTGTACAGCTGGTATGGGATTTAGAAAGTAATTAGTAATGAGAAATCCAATACATTTTAGGGTAACACTTTATTTTAAGGTGTCCTTGTTACACACGTTACATGTAACAATAAATGATGCATAATTACATGCAAGTAACCCTAAGCCAAACCCTGACCATATAGTAAGTACATGTAGTTAATTAATATTAGTAATTACATTTATAATTACACTGTAACAAGGACACCTTAAAATAAAGTGTAACCGTTTTTAGAGAAAGTAATCAGTACAGTAATCTAATTACACTTTTAGTATTTAGTATTAGTAGCTAGTAATTAATTACTTTTTTAGAGTAATATACCCAACACTGCTATTGAAACCAGCTAGAAACCACCCAAAACACCCCAGTATTGTGTCATCAGGTTTTTTCTTTTTAACCTTCATCCTTCCCTCGGGTCATTTTGACCCGGATTTTTTTGTGTGTGTGTTCATCTGAGTGGTACAAGACTTGGTGACTTTTGTTCCACTTGAATTTGGAACACACACAAAAAATTTGAGTGGATTCGAGGATTTATGTGGCTGTAATTAAAAATGTTTACAAATCCTTTCCCTGGCGGGTCATTTTGACCCGAGCATAGGAATGAATGGAATGTCAAAAAAAATGTTGTCACACTTGAACATGGATCACACACAAACATTTTTTGAGTGGATTCGAGGACTTTATGTGGGTGTAAAAACAGTAACAAAAATCCTTCCCTCGCGGGGCAATTTTACCCGCCATAGGAATGAATGGAATGTCAAAAAAATACTTTTTATTTTTATTTTAAAAAAATACAAAATCTATGCAAGCCCATTTCCGCCACTGAATAAAAAATAAAAAAGGTAATTGTGACTTTTTATCTCGCAATTCTGACTTTACAACTTGCAATTGTGAGTTATATCTCATAATTCTGTGAAAAAAAGTCAGAATTGTGAGATATAAAGTCACAAATACCTTTTTTATTTTTTATTCAGTGGCGGAAACGTGCTTGCATAGATTTTGTATTTTTTTAAAAATCTAATAAATTAGATTTTTTATTTAACACACACAAACACATACATGGTGCACGCACACACATAGAGACACATTATAACACGCATGATTAAAGAAAAAAGGTAAATAAAAATGTAATAAAATTAAAATCACCAAAACAAACCCCTACATAAATATAAAGAAAAAAAAATGGATCAATATAAGCTTTCTGGACCAAAAAAAAAAAAAAAGTTTCATTGTTTCAAAACGTTTGACCCGCGAGGGAAAGATTTGTGAGAAACGCGAGGGAAGGATAAAAGTCTCTTCTGAAAGGCTGTGTTCTGTGGTCCGCAGACTGCCGCCTGCACGTCTCTCTGTACTATCGTGAGTCTCTGGTGAAGGAGGTGACCACCAGCAGCCCTGAAGGCTGTCGCATCTCCTCCTCTCCGTCTCCAGGATCCCCCTCGTCCCCGTCGTCCCCGGGCCCTGAGGAGCGTCTGTACAGCGGGGCCGAGCCCGTGCTCTTGCCCTTCCCGTACCCTCAGTCGCAGCGGCGCGGGGCCGAGAAGCTGCCTAACGTTCTGGAGCGCGGCGTGCTGCTGTGGCTGGCTCCAGACGGGCTTTACGCCAAGCGCCTGTGCCAGGGCCGCGTGTACTGGGAGGGCCCGCTGGCCCCGTACGCTGACAAACCCAACAAGCTGGAGAAAGAGCAGACCTGCAAGCTGATGGACACGCAGCAGTTCCTCTCAGGTTAGAGATCTCACAGAAAGTGCTGGTTTACAGCCTCGCGCTGTGTTTTGAAATGTTTCGTCTGTGTTAAAGTCCCTTTAATTCACTTCATTAGAACTTTTGCACAAAATCATGGGCTGCTCCCGTACAGCAGGAAGATACATTTCCAAATATATTTTTTAAATACATTTCAAAATATACAAAAATAGCCTAAATATATTAAAGACGTTAAGATGTCCGCATCAAAAGAAATTTACAAAAGTGATTTTATGTCCATAGAAAGCACATTAAATGTAAGTAAAGTGTCTACTTTTAAGTTTTTGGAGAATAAAATGTTACAATTTGGTTGAAATAATGTTACATTGTCATTCAGTGTAACACAATATTTATGTAAAAATTCAAACAACATGCTTATTCTGACTTGTACATATTAAAATATATACAGTAAAAGAATAAGGGAGCATATTACATTTTATTGTGTTTTAAATGAGTAAAAAAATATTACTGACAAATGGGCAAAATCTAGGATAGGGGAAATTTAAAAAAAATGTAAAATTACAGCTAATTAGTATTTGGGGTGAAAGTAATTAGTCTTTTAATATGTCATAAATTTATTTTTGTTGTAAATATGCCTGACGAGATTGTTACACTAAATTATATTTTAGTGGGCGTCCTCTGTAAATCAGGGGAAAATGTATGATATTTATTTTCTGCTCGGAAAAACAAAAACAAAATTGCTATTAAATTAAACAGAAAACTTTTTTGGGGGAAAAACAACAACAACAACAACAAAAACAATTTTTATGCTTAAACCCTTTTTCGTCTTTGACCCAAATATATTTTATACCAATTATACCAA